GTCAAGGTTGAGGAAGGTCAAGGTTGAGGAAAGTCAAGGAAGGTCAACGTTGAGCGTCGAGGTTGAGGAAGGTCAACGTTGATGGTCACAGTTGAGGAAGGTCAAGGAAGGTCAATGTTGAGCATCAGCGTTGAGTGTCAAGGTTGAGGAAGGTCAAGGTTGAGGAAGGTCAAGGTTGAGCATCAAGGTTGAGGAAGGTCAAGGTTGAGTGTTGAGGTTGAGGAAGGTCAAGGTTGAGCATCAACGTTGAATGTCAAGGTTGTGGAAGGTCAAGGATGAGGAAACTCAAGGTTGAGGAAGGTCAAGGTTGAAGGTCAACGTTGAGCGTCAAGGTTGAGTGTCAACGTTGAGGAAGGTGAAGGCTGAGGAAGGTCAAGGTTGAGGAAACTCAAGGTCAAGGGTCAAGCAGAGAAGAGGGTGGAGATCCCAAAACCAGGTGACCCCCAAACCCCTCATGGACCAAAGACCTGCAGAGGACGAACCTTAATTGGGGTAAAAACCCCCAAATTTGGGTTCAAACCCCAAACTTTGGGTTCAAACCCCCAACTTTGCGTGAAAATCCCCAACTTTGGGTTCAAACCCCCAAATTTGGGTTCAAACCCCCAACTTTGCGTGAAAACCCCCAACTTTGGGTTCAAACCCCCAAAATTTGGGTTCAAAACCCCAAAATTTGGGTTCAAACCCCCAAAATTTGGGTTCAAACCCTCCGATTTCCGGGGCCGGAACCCCCGGAACATCCAAGACCCAAAACCCCCCAAAACCCTGGAGAAACCCCCAAAACTCCACCCCCCAGACCCAAAGCCCCCCCTCAAAACCTCCTGATTTTGGGACGTGCCCCAAAATCCCGTTTTTTGCCCCCAAATCCCATTTTTTGCCCAAAACCCCCGTTTTTTGCCCCGAATTTCAGGTGTACAAGCGCAAGACGGAGGCGGCCAAGAAGGAATATCTGAAGGCGCTGACGGCCTACAGGGCAACTCTGGTACCCAAAAATGGGGGAGGGACCAAATTTGGGGGGCCTGAATTATGGGGGAGGGGCCTAAGTCATGTGGGAGGGGCCTAAATTATGGGGGAGGGGCTTAAAATTATGGGGAGGGGCCTGAATTATGGGAGGGGTCTTAAATTATGGGGGAGGGGCTTAAAATTATGGGGAGGGGTCTAAAAATATGGGAGGGGCCTAAATTTAGGGATTCTAAGTAATTGTGGGGTCCTAAATTATGGGAGGAGTCCTAAATTATAGGGGGAGGGGCCTAAATTATGGGAGGGGCCTAAATCATGGGGAGGGGCTTAAATTATGGGGAGGGGCCTAAGTTATGAGGGAGGGGTCTAAATTATGGGAGGGGCCTGAATTATGGGGTTGTCCCTGAATTGGGTGTGGCCCCAAAAATTCCGGGTTAATTAATTTTGGGTGGTTTTTTTTAATTAATTTTGGGTGGTTTTTTTCCCCAAAAATTACAGGTTAATTAATTAATTTCGACGTGTTTTTTCTCCCAAAAAAATTCCAAATTAATTAATTTTGGGGTTTGTTTTTTTCTCCCAAAGAATTCTGGGTTAATTAATTAATTTTAGATGGTTTTTTTCCCCCAAAATTCTGGGTTAATTCATTGAGTTTGGGGTGTTTTTTCTCCCAAAAATTCCAATTTAATTAATTAATTTTAGGCTGGGTGTTTTTCCCCAAAATTTGTAGTTAATTAGTTAATTAATTTTGAAGGGTTTTTTAAATTAATTTTGGGTCGTTTTTTCCTCAAAATTTGTTGTTAATTAATTAATCAATTTTGGGGTTTTTTTAATTAATTTTGGGGGGTTTTCCCCAAAATTTGTAGTTAATTAATTAATTAATTTTGGGGGGTTTTAAAATTAATTTTGGGGTTTTTTTCTTTAAAATTTGTTGTTAATTAATTAATTAATTTTGGGAGTTTTTTAAATGAATTTTGGCTTTTTTTCCCCAAAACTTGTTGTTAATTAATTAATTAATTTTGTGGGGTTTTAAAATTAATTTGGGGTCGTTTATTCCCCAAAACTTGTTGTTAATTAATTTGTTAATTTTGAGTTATTTTTTTCCCCAAAAAATTGCAATTTAATTCATTAATTTTAGGGCTGTTTTTTCCCCTAAAAACTCCAAATTAATTAATTTGAGATGTTTTTTAATTCCAAATCAATCCATTATTTTTTAAGTCTTTTTTTTCCCAAAAAATTCCAAATTAATTAATTTTGGGGTGTTTATTTTTAAATTAATTTTAGGGTTGTTTTTTTTCCTAAAAATTCCAAATTAATTCATTAATTTTAGGGCTGTTTTTTCCCCAAAAAAATCCCAAATCAATTAATTTTGGATATTTTAAAATTCCAAATTAATTCATTAATATCGAGTTGTTTTATTACCCAAAAAATTCCAAATTAATTAATTTTGGGGTGTTTATTTTTAAATTAATTTTAGG